GCTGATTGGGTAACACATTAAGTCTGTCTCATAAAGCACAGGCTATCTACATTTTCCTCAGTGTCTATTACCAGTTACACAAGTAATTTAGTGAAGGTTTATTCTAGATACAATAAGTATTTCTTGCTGCATATAAAGACTTAACTTTAAGGCAAAAAAAAGCACCCGTAATTAAAGTTCCAGCCCCCCTGGGCTTTTATCTTGTTTGTGAGATGACAGTTTAATTGAGCAAAGGAAACTACTTGTATGGCTCAACTTGGTTTAAGTTAAATTAAAATGGCAAAGAATAAAAGTTGCCTTGACTGGCATTAGTATTGGTATATTTAACTTGGATAATTTCTGCATTTTATCTGATGTGTCTGCAGTGCCACATACTGCATGGCCATGCTCATCTGGATCTCTTGGTTTATCTTGTGAATCATGGAGTTAGAAGTTTGCACACCTAACAGTGCTAATATTTTGTGGCCTCCATGGCACCTGGGTTGAAAATGACTAGGTTATAGTTGTACTCTGAGTCCACTGCCTGAGAGCAGGCATTGCCGTCACAAATAAAAATATGAGTTATACTTGGGCCGGATCTCAGGTTGTGTCCATCCACTTGGATCTGGTCATTAGCATAGGGTGCAGACTCTCCTTCCAATTGCTACTGACTAACAGGCTTTTCAAGAACTGAAGAGTTGCTGTAAAAGTGGCTAGTTTTGTAGTTTTTCTTATTTTTAGAGTTTTCTGTATCGAGAAATCTTGCCCTGAGACTACGCTGAGAAACCTAAGCTTGTAACAGTTGTTCAAGGTAGAAATGCTGGTTAGGTATCAAGGCAGACAAGGTTCTTTGGGTGAATCTGATATCTTTTATTAGATCAATGTAAATAGTTGGAAAAAAAATTTTAAGCAAGCTTTTTGGTTTAAAAACCCTTCGTCAGACTGAGGAAGTTTCTGCAGTTGGTGTGTGTTCTTCCTGGATGGAATGAAAAGTAAAGAAGCCAGAGGCTGGGCTGGTATAAATAAAAGATAAGCAGTTAGTGAAGATGTAAATTGAGGAGTCAGTGTGAGAGAGACGGGCTGGGTGAGGGTGGGAGAAGGGGGATGAATAGTGGAGTTGCCATTTAACTTAAACATTTTTTTCCAACTATTTAAATTGGTTTAATAAAAGAGAGAAAATTCACCCAATGAACCTTGTCTGCCTATGTCCTTAGACCAAACACGGCTACAACCTACACCCCTGGTTAACTATCAAGAAGCAGACCTACGAACAAATTCAAAATAATTTTACCCAGAAACTTGAGCATGGGTTAGGATGTTTTATCGTGGGCCTATATTAGGATGAGGCAAGGTTTAGCTGAAGTCACGTGTCTGATACCAGACTGGAGCTCTGGGAAGATCTAATAGATCTTTTGGAAAACGTTAATTGTTTAGACTGAACTAAGTGACTTACTACCTGTGACTACAGTTATTTTTCAAATATAAATGCATACACATACAATAATGATTGTGTGATATTTGATTTATCTTGTACCCCTGACTTCATTTGTCCGTTACTCTAGCTACACTGTGAGCTATGTCTGATACTTCAAAGTGCTGCAGATCACAGCAGCTTGCTAAATAAATATTTCTTCCCACAAAGGCAGTGTTTTCCTGCACAACTACATGGAGACAATTAAGCCCTAGAGTAGTAACAAGGTTTAAATCTGATACTGGATGATTCATCTCAACTAAAGATTAAAATAGTTTGATGTTTGAGAACTCCTAGTTCTGTACTGTTGGAATGGCTTTATCTGTTGTGCCTGCTTGATTGTTACTCAGCTTCTACCCATGCTGTCTGATGATGAAAATCTGTGACTTGTGACCAAAGGCAGCTCAAATAATCCTCTGGCTTCTTTCATTCCTGTTGCAGGACTAGAATCCTAGTTAAAGAGGATCA